ATCTATAGTTTTTGTTATTGAATCTAAATTTTAGTTGGATTTTGTGTGTAATGAGTTTTGACCTTTTTGTTTTATCTACTGTAGATAGTTCAGTGAGCTTTATCATCAAAACTTAGTGGCGGAAAAAATAAAGAAAACGTGACTGTATTTGAAGAGAAAGAGCAATTAGAGCTGGATAAAGGTGAGAGAAGAATAAGATGATAAACTCTAGATTGAGATTCTATTAGCTTTTTGTATTGGTATTGTTTTTTTTTCTATGTCTATTGTAGATATCAGAGCTACTAAGGGTTTAGTCATTATGGTTTTACGCCCTCTTACTTTTTTTGTTTGTTTAGTTTTAGGTTTCATCGTCTGTGGAATTTTATAGTCATTGTTATTTGGTTGTGTTCTTTGATGTTTTTTTTTGTTTTCTATCCATGGATCTATGTTTAGTAGGTTTTTTTAATACACTCTCCTATATTTTTATTTCTTTGCATATCTTCTTTTATTTATCAAAGTATGTGTTTTTGTTTTGTTTGTTTTCACGTTTTTGATTTAAATATATTTTACATCATGGTTTTAACATTAGAGTTTCATATATGTTTATCTTGATCTCGCAGGTTTTGTTGTCGGCAATGTATGTTTTCTTTTTTTTATGCAATGGTTGATTTATATTTTATCTTTTTTCGGACGCTGATTTGTAGTTCATGTTGTTGGGTCTTTTGAGTAAAGCTTTTCTGTGCACTCTTCTTGAATCTGCCATAAAGATGAGGATAAGATAAAACTGTTTTTTTTTTTGTTAATATCTGAATCAAACTGCTTATGTTTGTGATGACACAATATGTCTATGGTGATAACAACGACTAAATTATATCCAGGAGTCAACAACGGTGATATACACAACTCCCTTTTATTCTCTGTTTTCAATTTTGTCTATTCTCAGACCTAGCTCATAAACAACGGCTAAATTTTGTCTATGCTTTGTGCATCATTTTTTTTTTTTTTGGTCACAATGCTTGTGCATCATCTTTCCTTTTTTTTGTTGGAAGATTATATAATATCATTGGCCTCATGTTGTAATTTTAACAGAGTAAGGTGCCAACAATCCATTACCAAAGGATTGCCAAATTTTTGATCTAACTTATTTTATATTTGATGATGATACATTACATTTAGGTATCTATCACGTGTTTTTTTTTTTTTTCTTACATTCTCTATCCATATTATTTATACTGGAAATGTGGGATATTTAGGTTTTTTAGGTGGCGAGCATGGGAGAGATGGTAGACATGTGGAAGAAGAACCACAACCAATTTGGATACTTAACGGATGGTATCTTACACATATATGTTTGTTATCTCTGTTAAGATTTTTGGCTGTAGCTTAAATTTCATATGTACATTTTTTCTCTTATGTTAGATCGCTGGTAAGCTTGAGGATTTTTCTCAGACTGAGTTTCAGGGCATTTAAAGAGGCAAAACAAATATGGGGGCGAGATAATCTAGCTGATTGTTCAGTGAAACAAATATATGGTGGTGAGATCATCTTAGATTTTAATGTTACTGTTTAGGATATATTTCCTGTTATCAATTTTTCTGCATTTTTTAGGGTTTAAATCTGATGTAGGATTTTGTATCCTTTATTTTTTTTAAGAAATTTGAAAGGACCAAAAATATTTTTCAAAACTTAATTAGTAAACTAAAGTGTGCAACGAGACGTCCTTGGTTAATGTAACATCTGGGAATCTTTAGGCGATCTTGAAGGCGATTTACTTCTGGGTTCGATTTTTAACCTCCTTCGGTTTTCCGTTTAATCGGAATTAATCTCTCTTGTAGAGCCTCGATTCCCTCTCACTTAACAACCGCTCCCTCGTCTCCAATTTTTGATTCTTCATGAATCGAAGAACAGAAATCGAATTCAACTATCGTTTGCAAGGGTTAGATATGGCATCTGATGATGAAGAATACGAGATTCTGGCAAGTGTGTGTTCTGAAGCATCACATGCAACCTGATTTAGTTTGTTGATTCGACCAGCAAATCCAAGGCGACAAAACCTCCGGCCAATGTTAAGATTCCTCCCACGCTTATGGGGCATGGATAACTCTGTTGTTGGGCGAATCGTTCCACACAGTAGAGCACAATTCTTATTCCCCTCTCGTGAAGCGATGGATCTAGTCATTCGCCGAGGACCATGGAGTTTCAATGAATGGATGGTTGCAATGGGCAATTGGGAGGAAAACCTACCAACTACTTTCCCTAATCATGTCTAATTCTGGATCCAGATTAGAGACATTCCTCTCCGATTCAATACTTATTCTGTTGTGGATTACATTGCAAGCACTTTGGGCGATGTTGCTAAAACAGATTTCAATCTCGATGCGGCTGCCAATAGGGAGTATGTACGGGTCTGTGTAAACTGGCCTCTTGCACAACCATTGATCTTCCATCTACGATTCCGCTTTGGTGGTCAATCTGGTGTTCCAATCACTTTCCGTTATGAAAAGCTCCGCAACTACTGCTTCCGTTGCCGGTCTTTGTGTCATGATGTTGATGAATGTGAGGAACCAGAACAAGAGTATCAAATGCATCCCCCGGGTGATGACATGACCAATGAAGACCCAATTCAAAAAATGGTCGTTGCTTAATCTTCTGGCCAAGCGATCACTAGAAGACAACTTCCTTCAAGTCCTGCAATTTAAGCCTCTCCACCACAACTGCTGCTGGATCAACCACGTAATAATGAGACATCTATCTCTGATTTCATTACTTTGAATGGTCATAAAATCTCTCCATGATTATTCACTCAAGTATATGAGTCCTACATTGGAGAGACATCTTCACTACAATCCTACTGATGTGATGAACAGAGGTAAATGAATTGTTCCCCAAGATCTGGATGATCAACTTTCGGTCGAATCCCAACGATACAATGCTGCAAAAAGGAAGCGACTCAACCATGAGACACCATATGGAGAAAGTT